GGAGGCAGCCCCCTCCTCTTCCTGCTGGGTGTCCCCTTTCCCTTGTCCCTCTGTCTTCTCCCTCCTGCCCCGGGTCTCCAGGGGCGGGCTGCTCACCTTTGCAGTGCACAGCACGGCCGGCCGCCTCTCGCAGGTGCCCGCTCAGCAGAGGAGCCGACCTCTCGGCCGCAGCACGGCCAGGCGGTCACAAGAGCCACATACCCAGAGGGCCACCGGGTGGGGGGCCACAGCGGCCCAAGACACGTACCTCTCCCGCTCGCCTTCGGTGATGTCATACAGGCGGTTGGCTCCTCCGTCGGCACAGGCTTTGAGAACAGCTTCAAACAGAACAAAACAGTGAGTCAGCGTGGAGACCTGCTGGTGGCCATGCAGGGGTATAGTCAGCGAGCCAGGTGGGCCGAGAAGAGAACTGAGCCCTGCAAGGCTAGTGAGAAGCCTTGCTGGGGAGGGTAAGGTGTGCCAGCCCCACAGGGGGCTGCTGGCTGGTTTAGGAGGGTCCTTTCCCGGCCAGGGGTGAGGGGCCACACCCTTAGCCGCTCTGAGGGGGACAGACGAGGCTGGCAGCTCTGTCCAGACCCACAGCCTCAGGAACCCCTTCTGGGGTTACAGTGCATCAGAATTGACTGGCCAGCCGTGGGCAGTGGGAGGCTGCTGAAGCCATAGGAGGTGCCCCTGCATCAGGTCCGCGCCCACCGGCTCATGCTGCCACGTGGCAGCATCACTGGGCCACGCCACACCACGCAGCACTCTTGTTGGGGGCTTGCTAGCCTAGCCCGGTGTGGGGAGCAGGTGGTGACCGAATTTTCAAAGAAGCAACGTCTGCAGCACGCACTGCCGGTCAGTGAGCAGACAGCACAGGCCGGTCTCCAGGGCGGCAGCCATAGCAGGGGCACGCGTGCCCGAGGGATGCTGCAGGAGGTCTCCAGGCACCAGGTGAAGTGGAATCAGCGCTCAACGCCGACACAAGACCAGGAGACGAGGGCACTGGCCACTAAGCCTTTCTGGGACCAGCACGACGATGGCCCTCAAACTGGCCGCTCCATCGGCTCTTGGAGGCTCCTCCCTCACTGGGATGGGAGGCAGTTGTTGAAGCGTCACAGGAGGAGTGAGTGCTTGGTACAAGGAGGCAGCCAGCCTCATTCTGGGGACCTGCAGTGAGCGCGCCGGGCATGGCCTCACCCTGTTGAGGCAGGTGGGCAGCATGACGCAGTCCGTGAGATTGTGTTTCCTCATTTAGCTGGTGATGGTCATGGAAGCATGGCCCACTCACACTCCACATTCTCCCAGGCCCTCAGCATCGGAGGGCCACGCTGGGCTGTGCGGACAGGGAGAGCCCCAGGCTGCAGGCACGGGCGGGAGTGGCCAGCTGATCCCAGCACCCTCGAACCTTGCCTATGAAGCTGGGTGTTTGGGGCACCTGCACATCCCCACTTGCCCAGGAGCACCTCGCCAGCAGTGCCCCAAAGCCATGGAAAAGACTCGCTCTACAGCAGGCTGTGTGTTGCTGGGTGCCACTGGGTCGGTCCTGACCCATAGCACCCTTAGGCAGGACGACAATGCGAAACACTCCCCTGACAACTGTCCCCGTGCTTGTGACCACTGTAGCAGCCGCTGTGTCCATCCGGCTCCTTGAGGGCCGTCCTCTTATTTGCTGCCCCTTTTCTTTACCAAGCAGGATGTCCTTCTCCAGGGACTGGTCTCCCTGACAGCATGTCCAAACCCTCGCCATCCCTGCCTCTAAGGAGCATTTCTTCTGGCCACACTTCTTCCAAGGCAGATGTTTGTCCTGTTGGCAGTCCGGTAGGTGGGAAAATGAAAA